CATTCCAAAATCTTTTGAAAGACATTCTAAAGATAAGGAGGATAATGCCAAGAACCCTGACAGGATGAGAACACCAGGCAATGCAGGAGGGGACCAATAACAGGAAAATAGCATGATAAGTCAACACACATCAATTATAAACATCAATGGTAATGGTCTCAATTCACCAATCAAAAAAAACCCAGCCTAGCAGAATGGATCAAGAAGCAAGATCCCACAACATACTGCATCTAAGAAACACATTTAATTCAAAAAAAAAATCATAGACTGAAAATTAAAGAATGGAAAACCATACTCCATGAGACAAGAACCTGGAAAAAAGCAAGGGCAGCTATTCTATTTGAAGACAAAATGGATTTCAAACCAAGACTGACTAAGAGACACAAGAAGGTCACTACATCCTTGTAAAAGGAACAATCCAAGAGGAAGAGATAATAATCATATGTACATATACATATACACCAAATACCAGTGCACCAACTATATAAAACAAGTATTAACAGACATGAAAAATCAAATAAGCACTAATACAACTGCAATGGGGGACCCTCAATACCCATCAACTTGACAAAAAATCAGCAAAGAAATATCAGAACTGAACCAAACTTTTGAACAAACAGACTTGTCTACAGAGTTCCACCCAACATCAGAATACACATTCTTCTCAGCTGCATGTGGGACATTCTCTAAAACAGACCATACACTACCTCACAGAACATGCTTAAGTAAATGCAAAGGAACTAAAATTATCCCTTGTATATTATCAGAACACAGTGCAATGAAACTGGAAATCAATGGCAAAAGAAACCACAAAAACACATAGAAATTAAACAACACCCTCCTGAACAACCAATGGGTCACAGATGAAATTAAAGAAGAAATTAGTTTCTATTAATTAAATAATGCCAATATAATACACTGGAACTTATGGGACACAAGGAAAGCAGTCCTATAAGGGAAGTTTATAGTGGTGAAAACTGTAGGAGAAAAAGAATAACCTCAAATAAGAAACCTAATGTTGAACCTCAAGCTTACAGAAGAGCAAGTCAAGCCCAAAGCTTATATGAGAGGAAATCATAAAAGATCAGAGCAGAAATTAATGCAATTGAGACTAAGAAAACAATATAATCAATGAATCAAAGAGTTTGTTCTTTGAAAGATTAAATAAAACTGACAAACCCACAGCCAATCTTATCAAAACAAGAAGACTCAAATCCACGTAATTAATGAATCAAGGCTGAAATCTAAATGGATCCTGCAGAAATCAAGAAGCTCATCAACACCTACTTTGAGAACCTATATTCTAATATGATAGGAAAAATACAATAGACAGATCCCTAAATAATATATGAATCACCAAAGCTGAATCAAGAAGATATAAAAATTCTAAATAAGTCAACATCAGTCAATGAAATTGAAGATTTAATTAAAAACCTACCAACAAAGAAAAGCCCAGTCCCTGATGGAGTCACTGCTGGATTCTATAATAAATTTAGAGAAGACCTAATGTCTCTACTTCTCAAACTCTTTAATGAAATTGAAAGGGAAGCAATACCCTCAATTCATTCCTGGAAGTAAGCATTACCCTGATACCAAAACCAGAGGAGGATCCAACCAAAAAAGGGAACTACAGACCAATTTCCCTAATGAACATAGATGCAAAAATCCTCAATAAGATACTAGCAAACAGAATGCAGCAAATCATCAAGAAGATTATATACCATGACCAAGTAGGATTCATCCCAGGGATGCAGGGATAGTTCAACATATGCAAATCAGTAAATGTAATGTACCACATTAACAGATTTAAGGACAAAATCCATATTATCTCAATAGATGCAAAATAAGTGTTTGACAAAGCCCAACACCCATTCACGATAAAAAAACTTACAAAACATTGTAATATATGAACTTTATCTCATTCTGATAAAAGCTATCTATGATAACCAACAGCCAACATCATGCTAAAAGGACAAAAGTTGAAAGTTTTCACTCTAAAATCAGGAACAAGAGAAGGAGGTCCACTATCATTACTCTTATTCAGTATAGTTGTAGAAATACTCACCACATCAATGAGAAGACACCAAGAAGGAGAATACCTGGATCAAATGGAACAAAGAAACAAAAGGAATAAGGACAGGAAAGGAAGTTAAATTATCATTATTTGTAGATGACATGATACTCTACATGGACAATCCCAAAACGTCCCAAAAAGTTCTAGACTTAATAACTAAATTCAGTAGGGTAGATGGGTACAATGTCAACACTCAAAAATCGACAGCATTCCTGTACAAACATAGCAAACTCACTGAGAGAGAAATTAGGGAAACAACTTTTCACAAAAGCATCCAAAAAAATGAAATACCTAGGAATCAATCTAATGAAGGAAGTAAAAGACATTTACATTGAAAATGACAGCACTGTGCAAAAGGAGATGAAAGAAGATACCAGAAAATGTAAAGACAGCCCTTATTCTTGGGTAGGAAGAATCAATAAAATGATAATGGCCATATTTCCAAAATTGTTATACAGACTTAACACAATCCCAATCAAAATACCAAGAGCATATCACATACAATTAGAGAAAACAATCCTAAAATTCATTTGGAACCAGAAAAGTCCTAGAACAGCAAAAGCAATTCTCAGCAACAAAGACAAGGCAGGAGGCATCAAAATCCCTAACATGAAATTATACTACAAAGCTGCTGTGATAAAACAACATGCTACCCGCAAAAACAAAACAGAACAGATTTAATGATCCACAGGTCAGATTTAAAGATGCAGAAACAACTCTGAATACATTCAGCCACCTAATCTTTGACGAAAGGGCCCAAACACCTTCACTGGAAGATAGCTTCTTTAATAAATGGTGCTCAAAACACTGTCTTTCCACATGCCAAAGATTAAAAATAGACCCATATGTTTCACCATGCGCTAAAATAAAATAAAAATGGATCAAAGATCTAAATAAATATTAAAAGAGAAACACTAAATCTGCTGGAAGATAGAACAGGTACATCTCTTCAAGACACAGGTGTAGGCAAAGACTTTATGAACAACACCCTCAATGCACAGGAAATATCACAAAGAATCAACAACTGGGATCTCATCTTATTAAAAAGATTTTGCATAGCAAAAGAAAACCAACAGAATGAGGAGATAACCTACAGAGTAGGAAAAAGTTTTTGCCAGCTGTTCCTCAAAGGACTAATATCTAGAATATATAAAGAACTATAAAAAACAAACAAACCCAGATCCTCCAAACTTAAAGACCCAATCCAAATATGGACATCTAAAATGAATACACTTCTCAGATGAAGAAGTAGAAAGTAAATATAGAAGAAACATTCAACATCACTGGTCATTCAAGAGATACAAATTAAACTCTAAACACACTCAGTCACCTAATCTTTGACAAAAGTGGCCAAACACCTTCACTGGAAGATAGCCTCTTTAATAAATGGTGCTGAGATTCCATCTCACTCCAGAAACAATGGCTATTATCAAGAAGTCAACCAGTAACAAACTCTCGCAGGGATGTGAGGAAAAAGGAACCCTTCTCTCCTGCTGGGAGTTTAGACTGGCACAACCACTGTGAAATCACTGTGGAAATTCCTCAAAAAACTAGGACTAGAGGTTCCATTTGATCCAGGTATTCTCCTTCTTGGTGTCTTCTCATTATTAAAGGCATCATACTACAGTGAAATAAAAAGCATCATACTATAGTGAAGTATGTATAACCATGTTTACAGTGATATATTTTGTAATAGCTAAATCTTGGAAACAGCTCACATGCCCATCAAAAAATGGATAAAGATGTGGTTTAATACAATGGAGTACTACTCTGCCATGAAGGTTAAGCTTGAGACGTTTCTAGCTAAATGAATGCAACTTGAGACCATCTTCTTAAGTGAAATAAATGGGACACAGATGTTTAAATATCACATTGTTTTTCTGGTGTGAGAATTAAAAACATAAATAAGGACCAAAATGTATAATAGATATTGGGGAAGTGGGAAAATATTCAAATGAGGTGAACAAGTAAGGGTGGAGGGGGAAAGGAAAGAAGGGACAAGAAAAAAACAAGGCAAAAATGGAAACAAAGCTTTTATAAATGAGAGGAAGGGGGTTGAAGGAAAATAGGAATAAAAAGAGGAATCAAAATGTGTCATTGCAGGTACAAGTTCCTTATGATGAATGTTATCATTATGTACATTTAAATGACACCAATAAAATAATTTAGAAGGTATGTTTTTCCAAAGTAATGAAAAAAACAGAAAAAGCTACATCTGCAATTAGAACTGGCATATCATATTCTAGGAATTTAAAAAAAAAAAGTATCCCCAGCAAAATTCCTGAGTGTTAGGACAGGATTCAGAAGAAAGACAAGCACGGCCTCGGGATCTCTCAAACTGAGCAGAGTCTGAAGTACTGGGGCAAAAGCAAACCCCAATGATACACCATCTACAGTGTCACTCAAGTACAATGGTTGACACCATTGCTACAGTGACAAGATACTATGTGCCCATCAGTGTGGAACTGACACTGCTAACAACTTGGTAACAGTTTACAAACTCCGTCATCTTAACTGGTCCTGAATACACACTGCACAGATTTAACTAAAAAAGAAAGCAGCTTAATATTATTAAGGAAACCAGGCCCAGTGTAGGGGCACATGCCTGTAATCCCAGCAGGGAGGATCACTGCAAGTTCAAGGCCAGCCTGGGTTACAAAGTGAGTTCAAGGCCAGCCTGAACTGTAAAGTGAAACCATGTTTTAAAAAGACAACGAAGAAAAAAAGAAACCACCAGAAGTACTAAAAACAGAAGCATAACCATCAAAACCCATAGCATTAGCCAAGGGTGGTGGCCCACACATGTAATCCCAGTTTATGAGACTGAGGCAGAGGACCCCGGAGTTTAAGGATAGTAACTTACTAAGATCCTGTCTCAAAATAAAATGTCCTAAAAGGGATTGGAGTATTAAAAGGAATTGCAGTATAACTTGGCACTCTTTGGATTTATTCCCCATCAACACAAAAAGACACACAGTGAAGGGCCTGAGGAGGAAGGAATAAGGAAGACTTGTGTATCTAGTAAAGTTGTCATGTTTCATAGCTGATTACATCATCCAAATTTACTTGATCACCAGACATTAAGAGCATGAAGACCAACTCATGAGAAACCTGAGTCTTGCTCTGCTGAGTCTACACAGTTGTCCACACTTTGAGGGACAGGGCATCTACTCCCTTGGGTGTCAGCACAAGGCTGAGGCGGGAAGCACTGAAACCTCCAAATCTACACTTGGCTGGCACAAGTGGCTCCTGGCATCTCAGTTACCCTGTGGGCTCTGCCAGTGCCTGGGGCAAAGATGCAGGTTTCTGACCCACTGAACTGGCAAGCATGGTGCCCAGGGCTGGCAAGGACAGAAGGCCAACTGCTGGCAGGCCACACTCACAAGACTACCTAGGAGAACAGTGTGGCAATAAACACCAAAATGCTCAGGTTTTATATTAACAGTTCCACTGCCAGGAATAACCTGCCAGATATAAAAGTTCACTGAAATGATGTGTAGAAAACATTCACGGCACTCAAGAGGCTGAGGCAGGACGACTGTAGTGAGTTCAAGGCCAGCCTGAACTGCATAGACCATCAAAAAAAAAAAAAAAGTTCACTGCAGCAACCTAGCAGCCTGAAAGTGCAAACCCGTGTCCTTCCATGGATAGCTCAGACCTCACCTTGCTGTTTCCTTGGACTCAACTACGGAGACCCTCCTGACTCTGCCTTACATGGTGAGGTCCCCAATCCTAGCAATTCTTCAGTGCACCCCTGCCTCTTGAACCCAGCTCTTCCTTGAGCCTGTCTTCTCAGTGGCTGCCGACATTCCCTCCCTCTGCTGCTTCTAGCCACTGGGCCTTTACACGGACTGCTCTCCTTGGCTCATTCCTCTATTCCTATGCCTCTGTGGGGCTCTCCGGCCTCCCAAGTGGGATTCTGCCCCATTACTTCTCCCCTGCTTCTGGCTGTGGGCATCTGACCAAAGTTCTAGGACAGTAGGATTATACCTGTCTGTCCCAGCACTCAGACCCTGGGGGCAGGAAGCAGGGATAGAAATGTGTGCTGATGTGGGTACCGCTGCAAGGCAGTGGGGAGGCCCTGCTCCTTCCTGCTTCATTAGAACAACTAACCAGCAGTGACTCTACCCTAGATTGTTATGACTACAAAACCTAGCAAAATACTCTAAAAACTGAGAGACAAGACTTGTTTTGGACCCTGCAGGACACTGGGCCAGTACTACACCTGCTTCTCCTGCTGCCTGCGTCAGCTCCACCCTCAAACAGCAGGGTGGCCACAGCTGCTCCAGCTTCTCATTCTTCCAGGCTCACAGTGCAGGAGAAACAAGAAACACTTGCTCCTGAGGGGACTTGAGCACATGTACCAGGGAGGGCTGCCTGGGTCTCATGTCTGGGCCTGGGCTGGTCAGGCCTTAGCCTGCAGAGCACTGTGTGTCTGGCTGAGAGGGGAACGGTGGCACAGCAACCAAAGTTTGGGTGGCTGATGCACACGGTCAAAAGCACATCACTGCAAGCTGGTGAGGATCTCTTTTTTCTGAAACATATTATGAGCCGTGGGCCCACTGCGACAAGGGACAAAATACTGGTGGCAGGGCAGGGCAGTGCAGGGCCAGTTTCCGCTTTGTACCACACTTCCTTTAACAGTGACATTTTCTAACCACATACATGTGTTATTTTTAATGTCTTAGAACCATAATTGAGGTTTTTCTTCAAAGAACTTAAATTCCTAAAAATGACATCTGCATATAAATGTCCTCTTATTCAGAGTGACTCCATTATATGAATGGCAAAAATTCAGACATGAACAGTAGCATGTCTAGTTAGTATCATAGAAAAACACCACAAGCTTAGGCACTTTATCAAAAGAAATGTCTAGAACATTGTAAATGAGGTCGTCGTGTCCTTGCCATGCCTGCTCAGGGCTCTGCTGGTCCCCACTTGCACAACTGACAGCGATCTCACTCTGTCCTCAGTAAAGAAGCCATATGGCAGCAAGAGTTCCCTCCAGCTGAGGACAGGCAGGCACATCCGAAGTAAATACCCAGGGTCAAGTGGCACTGCTTCTGAACCCAGATTTCTTGCATGGATGGGTCTACATGCCCAGCTCCCTGGTGACACATCCAGACACTGTGGCGCACTTTACCTTCACTGTGATGAAAGCAATGGCTGCACTCAACAGTGTGATTCAGTGAAGTCGAGTATTTGAAAAGCTTGTTGGATCAGAAACTGCTGTCTTTTGGTTAGTGGAAAATCAGCAGCAGATACAACCCAACAGAGCAGAGCAGCAAGGTGAGGCAGCAGTACTGGGGATCAATGACTCATCAGGTCTAATGGGAAAAGCAACACAGTCACCGTCCATGCTAGGTGGCTCTGGAATAAATGTGAACCGGGCAGTGTCTGCTATTAATCAGAAAACCACAGTCTCCATCCTTGAAGCTTCACAACAGTAAGTTTTGCATTGACCAGACTGGTCATGTGGCAGACTCTTCTGGCAAGAAAATGTCACCAAGTGTGCAGCACCCACCCGCCCATGAAACCAGCAAGGGAGTCCCTTGTCCCTCTGCCAAGGGGAGCAGCAGCACTGTCACAAGTCTTCTCGCTGGCTTCCAGCTCGGTTATCTTCCTTTGAGGCCCGTGATCTTGAATTCCCTTCTTTCTTCTTTTTGCCCTTCTCTTGCTTCATTTTATTTTTCTCTTTGCTTCCTCCTCCTTTGCCAGGATACACCTGCCCCTCCAGAGTGACATCAGCACACCTGTCCTGACTGACCAAAAAGTCCTTGATCTCCCAGGCGTAGCTCCCATCCCGAAGCATGAAGATGGCCCGGTCTGAGCCGACGATGAACCTGGATAGAGATGCAACCATACCGTTATCATAAACATTAGTAATGCGCTAATGCGTCAGGGTGAGTCTGTGCTACTTAACCAGAAAAAAAGTTCACTGCCAATTCCTTATGAATATAGCACCAAAAAAATGCACCTTCCAGTGCCTCATAGCTACAGGCATTTAACACTTGAAAATACCAGCCTGCCGAATCATCAGACACCCACTAGGATCAAAGCACAGACGCTGCTCTATGGTGTAAGTGGACACTTCTGCTTGATGGGCATTGGGACAAGCTCCATCAGAGGTGGCTGGGGGATAGGGGTAGGGGTCTACTTCTATATGTTTTATATTCTGAAATGTCTCTTCCATTTCTATCCGATTTATGTTCTAGTTATTTGACAAAAGGCTTTCCCTGCTAAAGCCTAAAAACCACTGGCTCAGGACAGCTCATGTAAGAAGCCCTCAACGCCCAAGAGGACATTGGGCAACCTGACAGAAGCCCCAACTGCAGTTCCTGGCAAGCACCCCAGCCAGTCCACACTGAGCAGGCCCAGGAGCCAGGGAACAGGAGGAGGCCTAGTGGACCACTGGCACAGGCGACAGGCATGTTCCTCCCACTTTCGGGGGACGCTACACTTGCTCCCACCCCTCCACACTGACCAGTCATCACCACAACAGGTCTGTTCTAAGTTTCTGCGTAAACTAACAAAAGCTTTCTGTGAGCCTAGAGCTTCTCCACAGCCACAGCACTGTTCCAGTTCCTCAATTAAGATACAGTGTATGCAAAATCCCAAATCTCACAACTGTTTGAGGGGAGAAGCAGGCGCTTCAAACGGAACTTCGGAACCAGCTGAGCTATGTAAATGGCCCTGCACGGTACATTAGTCATCTGTTAGTGTCGTGCTGCAACTTACATACGTAAAAGCCACACTCACAGAAAGTCCCCACAAGCAGTAATGCTCACAGCAGCAAAGTGCCAACCTGCCATGTATCTGTTCCCTACTCAGGCTAAGCTACACAGCTGTTCAGCCATAGGAATTAAAATGAAACCTACAAGGATGAGGGCTGGAGAAATAGCTCAGTGGCACAAGCGCCTGCCTGGCAAGCGCAAAGTCCTGAGTTCGATTCCCAGTACCAAAAAAAAAGTAATCCAGTGTTTCTCAAATTATTTGCCAGGTGTGGTGGTGCATGCCTGTAATCCCAGCACTCGGGAGGCTGAGGCAGGAGGATTATTGCAAGTTTAAGACCAGCCTGGGCTACAAAGTGAGCTCAAGGCCAGCCTGAACTACATAGCAAGATCCTGTCTCAAAAAGACAAAAAAAAAAAAAAAAAAGCAGTAAGGATGAATGCAACTTCAAGGCTGATTGATAAATGAGGGAAGGGCACCACAGTGCAGCCTCACAAAGCACTCCACCCAGCCTTTACCTCTGTACGTCATAGTTGGCATTAAACAGGCTGCCCTGCCACAGGCTCGTGATTTCCTCTGTCTCCTTCTCTGTGGGGTTCCCAGATACAGTGACGAACATCATGAGCGTCTTCCCTTTCTTCGTCATCTTCAGGATGCTCTCAGGCTTGCCCGGATCTATCTTGGAGAAGTCAACAGGTGCTGGGGGTCTCTTGTGCTCCGGAAGATCTCCCTCTTCTATGTCATCATCTCTCTGGCAAGATGGGGAAGAGCATCAAACCGCTCATCAGAACCTCGCTTTGCAATCAGCACAAACATACCTGCATGCAACAGGGCAGGTCTCCAACCTACAGCCCCAGGGATTTTCCTCTTGACTTGTGAGCAGAGCCTAAGTTTCTGGTAGTACCTGCTACCCATCAGCCCAGGTCCACTCCTGACAGCCCAGTGTGAGGGCACCCACAGCTTTTTATTCTCGAAGAATCTACCCAATGTGATTATAAAAATGGCCACATTCCAGTATGGTTATGCAACAAGCTACCTAGCAATGAGCAACAAATACTGATACATGCAACAGTTTCAAAAATATTAAGTGACCAAAGCTGGGCACAAAGTAAGATGCACCATACAATCCATGCAAGATTTAAGAAGAGCCATAACGCAGGGAGACAGAGAGAACCATAGTACATGCCGCTGGCAGGGGACATGAGGTGGAATACAGGAACTCGCTGGGCTGATGGGATGTTCTGTATTTCATCAGGGTGTGGACTACATAAATGTATCCATTTATCAAAACTCACACTATACCTAAAATCTGCATTTTACTGTGCACAACTATTTAACTGCAGTTAGTACATTTGTTTCTTGTAGTGCCATATGCTAGCAATTCTCACAGCACCTTCTGTCAATTCTAGGCCTGACCAAAGGTGCAGACATACTGGGGACAATGTGAGCCAGGTTCCTCAGTTTTGGAGAAGCCACAAATAGGACAGGAGTGAAGGTATACCTTGTGGTTTAGGATGAACTGAAGGCACCACAGAAATTCAGTGTTAACAGACTGACAGGTAGACAGACGGGTGCATGGATAAAAATATTTCAAAGTGGGGAGAAAAGGTTAATCACAGCAAGGAAAATAGAAGAGGTGCCTAGAATATCTTCCTGTACCAGATAGCAAAAAAAGGGCTCAGTGAATCATGGAATATGTCAAAATGACAAACATCAACCTGAGGCAGCTCTCATAATCAAATCAGGAATAAGATGAACATTATACTAAGTAACAGTAATGACTTCTAACTCCTCCAATAAAGTAAGATGCAGCAAGTCCATCCCAATGCAAACAAATGAACTAACAGTGGAATGCCAACTAATGAACAACAAAAAAATCAGCAAACAGATAAAAATTTGAAAGAACTAGGCTCCAGCCAGGTACACTGATGCATGCCTGTAATCCCAGCACTCTAAGAGGCCAGTCTCAAAACTTTAAAAATGAACTGGAGATGTAGCTCAGTACAATGGCTTTGGTTTTGAGTTACATCTCCAATGCAGGAAGGAAAAAAAGAAAAGTGAAAGAAAAACAACCGGTTCCTTGAAAAGGCAAATTGCAGTAACAAAAAGATATGAGGTCCTGACTGACCCACACTACATAGATGAACCCTGAAAACATTACACTGGGAAGAAGAGCCGGACACAAAAGACTACACATTCCATGGTCCTATCGTAGGAAATATCCAAAAGACAAAGCTTTAGGACAGAAAACAGATGAGTGGTTGTCTGGGGCCTAGAAAATCCAGGACAGTGACTGAGGGTTTCTTTTTCAAGAGATGACATGTTCAAAAGTGACTGGGGCAATGGCTGCACAACTCTGAATGAACTAAAAATTACTGGGATGGTCGGGTGGTGAAGCGTGTGTGTCACATGAATTATTTCTCAACAAAACTGCTACCAAAAAGCCAACCTAAATGAAACAAAAGGCCCTTTTTTACTCTTGATTCTCTTGACATCTCTCTGGGGGGCCACGGCGGATGACATCAACGATAACACAGTGCATTACTGTATTTTAATTAAAGGTGAGAAGGAAAAAATTCTAATGCTGAGCTTGAAGGTGATCCACACTAACATTAGACCTGGGATCCTGTCTCAGCCCTTCACACTGTGTAACCACAGGTGACATCCCTTTCCTCTGGACCTACCTCACCTACAAAAGGAAAAGCAGAACCAGCAGACCTGAGCCCATGCAGTCACAAACAGCCTGCTAACTTTGTCCTCAACTCTACACCCTCTCAAGTGGACCTGCCGCTACTTATTTGCGCTGAAGCACAGGCCTTGCTGTTAGAGGGGCCTGGGCTTAGGTCCCTGCTCAGCTCTTTAACTGTGTGTCCTTGGACAAGTGAATGTCACTCTTCACACCTACAAGAGGAAGGTGAGGAGTGACAACAGTGTGATCTCCCTGAGGTTCCAGGGATTTAATGACAAAGGCGAAGACCCCGCAGCTCACTCATTAGGTCCAATAACCTGGTGTCCAACCATAACCACTCTATGGAAATTATACTCTCAGATTCCCAAGGTGGCTCCTAGTTGCTAACCTCCCAAGACACTCTGTTACTCAAAAACTTTCAACAGCTTGAGCACCCTCTCTAGGGCATATTAGGAAGCTGTGTAACAGTACAACCAGGAAGACAATGCCGTAATCTTGGGAAAACAGTAGCTACCAAATGAAAACCTCAAGAGCAAAAAAATCCATCTATGTTATTTCAGCTATAAAAATTATGCCTACATATAGAAAGACACTCAAAAATTTGTATGTTATAAGATAAGGTTGCAGATGATTAAATACAAATACCCTAGTATTCTAACATACGGGTAAGGTAACTGCATACTGATCAACGAGATGTACTCCTCTAAGTTCTTGTCCTTTTCTTAGTTAAGTCTTGCAGCTACTTTGAGGTGGCCACCAGTAACACTTTCAATTTGAGGATGAGAAAATAAAAACCCAGAGAGGTTCTTTGCCAATGTAGATTCACAAATTTAAGTGGAATGAACACAGGCAGTCCAACCCTAGAGCCCATGCTGTTAATCTTTGCACTATTTCCTCGGTTCCCACATTTCCTCTGACCATGCTGCTGTTAGAAATCCCCTTCTCCCACACTTTAACCACCAGTCCTTTTTTTTTTTTTTGTACCGGGAATCGAACTCACAGCCTCGCTTGTGCTTGCCGGGCAGGTTCTCTGCCGCTGAGCTAAAAATCCCCAGCCCCTTAACCACCAGTCTTAAACACCACTGCCCCACATTTTTTCCTGGTCTATCTAAAATGCCACTTCCAGGCCGGGCATGGTGGTGGAGCACGCCTGTAATCCCAACACTCAGGAGGCAGAGGCAAGAGGATTGCTGTGAGTTTGAGGCCAGCCTAGGCTACTGTCAGCTCAAGGCCAGCCTAGACTACAGAGTAGTGTCACTTCCTTCTTGCAGTCCTCAGTTTCCCACAGAACTTTCTTTTCATGGTGTTCAGCTATTTTTACTGAGTATTAAGGTTACTTTTGTTACCTACTGCTCTGATGGTTTCTTTGTTCATCTCTACAGCACCCTCTTCATCTACCCCAGTCTGAGTACTTCCAGGGCAGGATTTCTCACTTTGGCAGATAAAAGGTTCTTTTCTGCTAGAGTCCAAAAACAGACAGGGAGACTGGAAGGAAATAAGAATGAGAAAGGGCCCTCTTCAACGGTGGTATGCCTACACTCAAAGCTATGCCAATCATTCCAGCAGTTACAGATAAACATGAAAACGCGCCTGTTTTCTTCTAGTGAAATGCATCAGGTGGTATTCAACTCATGCTTGGTCTTTGCCCCCTTCCTATAACACTCCCAGAGATAATAAGAGATAACTGCACAGTAACAAAACATCGGCTTTAGAAGGAATCTGAGAAGTCAAGCAGTAAAACTCACTCTCCAGACAAGGAAACCAAGGCCGAGATGGGAGACATGACCTGGGAAGGTTACAGTAAGTGGAATTCAAGTTTCCGACTCCTCTCAGCCAGCTGTGCCTATCATCAAAGACAGTACTACTAGGAAGGGAAAGAGGCGGTGATGTAGTTTTGGTCGGCGAACTTCACCTTAAAAGTTTTACACTCCTTGTAATGGCACACTCCAGTGCACCCGAAATACAAACCAGAAAACTTATTCTCACCAAACAAGTCATTGCCCCTCTAAGCAAAAACTGCGAAAAAAGCCACCAGCCTTTGCTACCCTCCCCCTAACAAAATAAATACACACAAAAATACAAAATTCTCAGGAGGATAATTCTTATATACCAAAATGATAAGTGGGAAATTTCTACTGATTTCGAGAACAGGTTAACTATCAAAGCTGAAGTAATTCTCCTGAAAGATAGTCATCGCCACAACCCACATACCCACCCACTCTACACGGAACACACAGGACTGGAGGAAGAAAAGCCTCTTCAGGAATGGAGCGGGAAAGGGCTCCTCCCTGCCTTATAGGGCCCACCGGCCACCGCCACATCCGCAGAGGCCACCAGGACGCCGAGGGGACAGCAAGGCTGAGCAGCGTGGCCGATCTACAACTGAGGGCCAGAAGAACGAGAGAAAGCAGGACAAGAGAATGAGCCCTGGGACGGGACTGCGGGCTTCGGGGAGCCCGGGAGGCCCAAAGAGCTGACCGTGCTCTAATGTGGGGGTAAAGACGCACCGCAAGGGAGGTCAGGGATAACAGGGTCCCGACACAGAGAGGGTAAGAGGGTCAAAGAGCCGGGAGCCCGAGCGCGAGCAGCGGACCTCCCACTGTTCCAGGAGACGCGCCATGTCCGCATCATTGTAGTCGCGAATGTCCTTCTTCTTCCGCGGAGGTGGGGTCGCCTCGCCGGGCGTCCCAGCTGGACTCTCAGCCGCGCAAACCCCAGATGGAGGCAGCAGCAGCAAGTCTGAGAAACAAACCAGGAGCAGGACCGCACACACCAACCTGGAAGCCGCCATCTTCACTGCGCAGCGCCGCGCCGCGGAGGAGGCCGGGCCTACGGCGGCTTCCGGCCACGCCCCCGGACTTTCGGGTCCGCCCCCGGCTTCCGGCCCCGACTCCGGCCTCTCGGGCCCGGCCCTGGCCTCATGACCCCGCCCACCTGGCTCTCGGGCCCGCCCCTGGTTCCCGGGTCGTCCCCAGCTTCCGGCCCCTGTCCCTTCTACCAGCCCCAGCTTCCGGTCCCGCCCCCCGCCCTCCAGGCCCTCTCCGGAAGCCCCACCCTTTCTCCGCCCTCCGGCATTCTCTCGCCAATCGGTCCCAGCCCCGTCCCCGTTCCTCCACCCCCGGAAACCCCGCCCAGTCCGGGCCCCGCCCCGCGGGCTTCCCCCTGTTCGGGCAGGGCATGCTACCAGGTAGGATCGTCCTGGAGGGCACGCTGCGTTTTTTGTAGCCTGCTTTTTCTGTAGGAGGCCGGCTTTTTCTGTAACTCACCAGCTGGCCTCACAGATCCCCGCAGGGCCTCAGGAGCTGCGAGGCGAGGCCTGGATGTTTCGCCGGTGAAGTGAGTTGGCGTCGTTCTGGAAGCCGCCTCAGCGCTGATAAAGCCCTTTCGGGGTGCCGCTCCCGCCGGGCCTCTGGCAGCTGCCCCTGAGAATAGCCAGTTAGAAGTCAGCGGCAGGACAGCAGCTCGTCCAGAGCGTCACAAAAGAGTCCCTCGCCGTCCTGCGCGTGACGGATGGAGCAGTGTACCCAGCGATCAGTACTGCTGTCACCCCCAAACTCACAGGCTCACGTTTTTAATCACCAACTGTCATTTGTCTGAAATAGCTGCAGCCTGTTTTCTGATTTCAGCCTAATACTGGGGCTCTAACTAATTTTTAAGACTGAGTCGTGCTACTTTTTCTCTCTAAAAAAATGTTGCCAGAGATGCTTTGAAATCCCAGGAGTTTTAAAAGGTGGCCATGCTGATTTATTTTACATTTTTAATGACATAAGAAGACATGAGCACTCAGTGTTGTCAGACATTCAAACATTACAAAGTACAGACCCCATATCTGCTGCACACTGACCACACCTACCAGTTTATTACACAATGCACCCATTTTCCCCATACACTCGCAAGTGTCGCTATCTGTAGAAGGGGTTTTGTTGCATTTGTGTTTGTGGTAGCTGCTCTATGAATTGTACTGAGTTTCCCAATAGGAAGAATTTTGATTTTTTTATAGGGCTACATAGTATTATTCAGTATTGTTGCACCATCAAGGGCAGTCACTACCAGTTTCTATCGTTACAACTAAAGAAGAGCAGCCATAAACCTTTCTTCATGCTTTGTACGGATGTGATTAACAGGCTTCATATAAAAGAACACTGATTTTTTAAAGTTCAGACAAGATAACGTCTTTTTGTGGCCAGTATTTCTTTTGCAGAAGCAGGTGGAAACAGCATCTAAAGTTGATGGTCACAATTCCAGGATGACTACTGGAGCTCCAGCCATCTGCATGACATTAAACCAGAGGAAGAAGCAACGAAGCCAAGCCAAGCAGAGCATACTTTTTGACAGAGTCAACTTCTTTAAGCATCCTTCTTGGAGGCTGCACACGACATTTAGATCTCACTGACTGGAACCTGGCTCTCCAAGAGAAAGCTGGGAAATAAATCATAGCTGTATGTGCTCTCAGCCCAATATAAGTAGCATTGTGTTTGCTACCAAGGGAAAAGGGTAAAGGTTTAAATTGCATAACGTTGATGCTGTTTGTCTCCCACTGCAGTGATGACGGATATTCTACATATTCCTGCCTACACATATATAAACATTATGCTGTTTCCTATTGACACCAAGCAGAAACAACTCATAGGAAAAAGGTTTTTTTTTTTTTTTTCCTTTCCTTTTCTTTCTGAAATCATAGGGGAAATATCATGAGCTTTCTCCCAAGGGCACATTGCTCCACCCAGTGGCTTGGAGCTCTGTCCTGGTGCAGTCATGCTAAAAAACATGTGCAGCTGTGCAGATCATGTGCTGTTGGGAGGGGTCGCCCTGGTAACTGATTCCGCCAGCTGCCAAGTTAAGGTGCAAAAGTACTGGGATTCTTGGCCCACACGCTCTAGTTATAGAGAATAAAGTCACTTTGTGTTTTACAGAAGCTGTTGGGACTGGGCAAAACATTCCAAGATTACTGCCTTTCATCTAAGGAGGAAACTCTTTTGGCATGGAATCCACTGATGTGAAGACATCTGGATTCAGAGCCTTTTCAACACTTTGATATTTTAAATACATTTCAGTGTTTTAGATGATGATTCAGTTCAACTCTGGAGGACTTTAACAACCTACTCTAAACCAAGAACTAAGGGACGCACCGATGCAAAGACAAATGTAACAGTTATGGTCCTTGCTTTGGCGGTTTGCGAGTAGCAGAAGTAAACTACACACAGTGAATGCAATACAGTTCACAGGAGGCCAGGGTCTGAAGGGATGATGTGATCTTTTCTTTTGGGTGGGGGAATGGTCTCACTCTGTAGTTCTGGCTGGCCTCAAACTCATGGTGATCCTCCTGCCTCAGTCTCCCAAGTGTTGGGATTACACGTGTGCACCACCACGCCCAGCTGGAATGACATGGTCATGATGTGATGTAATATTTTAGGAGGAAATCCTAGTTTGGGAATTGCATAATTCACCTGAGACCACATAGCCAGTACAGTACAGCTGCAGGTCAAATATCCGTGCCCAGGTGTAAGGGACCATAAGGTTTTCTTTGGTATTTTTCCCTCACCGTGGCATGTCTGGGGTAATGAGTGAAGTCCTCTGCACAGTGACACCAGGAGCCACATTGAAAAGGGTTGAGAAGTCTAGAGCCAGGGGTGTGCAGACGGGACTGAGTGAGAACCAGCTCAAGGCAGTGCAGTCCAGTGCTGGGAAAGGGAGCCCCAAAGGAAATTGTGTGGCCACAGGAGAAAGGAAGCACGGGATTAATACTGACCCCACCTCTAAGTGGCGCAGGGACCACAGAGGGGAAAACTGCCTCTCAGATCTAATTAGTATCCTAATCTGGGCCATCCTGGCTTGTGTTCTCCACAAGAGGTTGAAGGAAGTTTCTAACATACTGTGAAATCAGGCTGGAGTGACATTCAACATGCAGAAAAACTAGGATGGTACAACTACCAATCGCTAGAACTTATAGCTCTTGTGCCTTTGATGGGTGAATGGTGGGAAGGCTAAGGAGATCTGGGGGTGGGGTGGGTTGAAGATGGAGAAAGTGATACGGTTGTGACTGTGACCACCACAGACTGGGCCTGCACTGCTATTTCATGACATCCATACCTTTCTGACTCTGGCTGAGTAAAAGTTGTGAACATCCAGATTCTGGTTCAATAAAAAGACACTCTCTTTTTGTATTTGCAGAGAGGTTTAATGAATGAATTCGATAAATACTTACTGATGACCATGCAATGCCTTAGATGTGAAAGGGACACCAGTAGATCAAGTTCCTGTCCTTTCTTGTTTTTTAAGACAAGGTCTCACTATGCAGTCCAGGCTGGCCTCAAACTCACGATCCTCCTGCTGCAGTCTCCTGAGTGCTCGGTTTAGAGGCATGCACCACGACATCTGGCTCAAGTCCCTCTTCCCAAGAGATAACAGGGTTGTGGGGACAGAGTCATACCACTACTTACAAATTCAGGATGCCAGTGGTGACACTGAAGCTCTGTACCCAGCACCAACTGACACAAGGGGATAGAAATGCCTGGGGACCCAGATGTTCCAAGGGAAGTGGCAATAAATCTTTCCACTCTTGTTACTAGCCATGTAGCACACTGCGCAAGACCAAAACGTAGTCAGCCATTTGTGTTCCGAGTATAGGGGGCCTGAGTCTTCATACTCATTTTTCTCCTCCAAATTTCTGAAAAGTGGAAACTATATCCGGAGATCACTGGCCACTAGAGGAAGGGGACACAGAATTTATTAATCTGTGCATGCAACTTTCACCTCCACATAAAGTGTGCTTGTAAAGGACAGAGGAAAACTTCACCTCTCCCAAGTCTTAGGACCTGAATTCTTAGGTGCTCCTGATGAGGGATGACTAGTGTGACACACAAGTGTCCCATCCTATTTCCAGCTGGACAAGATAGCAGCAGCTGGCTACAGAAGTAGGGAGGAGACAGGGCTGCTGGTGGGCGAGGTCCTGCCCCGTGCATGCTCTTACTGGATTGGAACAAAATATGGCAGCAAGCAGGACACCAGCTGAGTGACCAGGGTGAACCAGGGACTCTCAGCGATACTTGTGGGGCTGACTAAAACAGGAGAAAGGAGGGGTAGGAGTACATTCTCTAGATACTTAAGAGATATCGAAAGGAAGGTAACAAGGGATGACGTTTGGATATGTTCACGAAATTTTCCAGACTGAAACGGCTCCACTGTTTTGTGAACATAAAACAGCCACTGGTGTGGAGAGGTGCGGTGAGGAAAAGACTGACCACCAGGTGGCAGTGTACACCCAGTACAGCCTGGTAGTCGGTCCATAAAGTCTGGGTTCAGTGTGAAAGCTGGGTATCAAAACACAGTGCACATATAATGGAATATTATTCAGGAAGGAAATCTTTGCACATACTACAATAGGTATGAACCTTGAAGACACTATGCTAGGTTAAAGAAATGATCTAATCATAAAAGGACAAATATGACTGCATTTAAATGAGGTATTTAGGGCAGATTCATGGAGTCAGAAAGTAGAATGGTGGGTGCTGGGGGGCAGAAAAAGGGGGGGAGATTGTGTTCATATACTTGCCTGAAGCCCAGCTGGTGGATGCCCCTTCTAAAACAGGTGAGAGGGTGAGCCATTCCCAATCTCTGGCCAAACACTCAACCAGTTCTCTCTTCAAATCTTGCTCTTTTGCGCCTTTATTGGAGCCTACTAAACGTGGGCCTCCATCCGGCACTGAGGATAAGTCTAGGGCCAGGTCACTCCCTGTGAACCCTGGCCACTTTTGTCTGCTATACTTACCTCCCCTAGTCAGCTTTGTGTCCACAGGTACCAGCTGTGTTCCCATGACGTCCATTTAAGTGGAGGATATTTAGTTCATTCATAGTAACTGACTACTATCATCTCCCCA